CTGGAACTCACTTGGTAGCCCAGGCTGGCCTCGAACTCACAAAGATCCGCCTGCCTCTGCCTCCCGAGTGCTGGGATTAAAGGCGTGCGTCACCACCGCCCGGCTAATTCTCTTTTTATAAATAAAATTTTTGTGTTTTAAAAGCCCAAAGAATGGAGAGACTATTGATATTTTAACTTAATGACATTTTGTATTTTCTGTGAATTATAATTTTGAATCTATTATTTTTTTGTTCCTGTTTTAAAATTCAATCTCCTCCACACAGGAGGTAACTTATCCAAAGATAAGTACAACATATGGACTGGTGAAAATACAAGTCTTTGAGAGGAATGACGACACTTTGCCATCTAGTATTTTAAGTGTCTATATAAAGTACCTTGTCATTGATCCAACTGAATCATAACTTAACCTTTTTTTTTTGGGGGGGGGGGGAGTATCTTCTTGGCCAGTTAAGTTCAGCTGAACTCTCTAGACCAGGGATCAGGGAATCTAGTCAGTGGCTGACTTAGTGGAGCCATTCGAGAAGTTGTCTGTCTGTCAAGCAGAGGCTGACTTCAGGCTTAGGAAAACTCTTCCTGAGTCCTGTGCTAGACTGAGAGGCAAGCCTTTGCACCTGCAAACTAAATCTGAGGATGGCTGCCTTGGTCAGCTAGAACTGGGTTGATTAAGTTCTTCTTCTGTTCACCTGATAGCAATTAATTGGTAAACCCCGATTGTTTCTTTTAACATAGTTCAGTTTGACCGTGAAGATGATAGTTTGTAATCTTTCAATAGTGAGTGATCATAAAGATCTTCGATGATAATTTCAGTAACAACTGTGTGAATGGTGGATATTATTTCATATTTGTATCACATTTTAATTGAAAACTATACTTTCTCCAAAACAAAGCTCTCTAAAATAAGCTAAAAAGTGGGGGCGGGGAGGGGGAGGGCATGTTATTTTCTTTATTCTCGTGAGTATTGGTGTTTTGCCTGCTTGTATGTCTGTGTATCATGTGCCTGCCTGGTGCCCACTAGAAAAAGGCATCGTATCCCTTAGGACTGGAAGAGCGGCCAGTGATTTCACTGAACCATGTCTCCAGCCCCAATTACTGTATTTTATTTTTTAATATGAAGGCAGAATCTCGAAGGTAGGCCTTCAGTGTGTCCTTTTCAGAGTTCCTCAGCTTTTTGTTTTGTTTTTTGTTTTTTTGTTTTTTTGTTTTTTTTTTTTCATTGTAAAATTGAAGCCCACTCATGAGCTTCCAAACATTTTAACATTCCTACTAATGATGAATTTTAATATCCTACAGAAGAAGTGTGTGAAAATTACACTTTGTTATGAGAATGGGTTATCTTTAGCAGGGACACACTTGATCACCGATGCCAAACAACAGTCTGCTCCAGATTACTAAGTTCAGTGACTCGGACCCTTCCTTCTACAAAACCTGGAAAGCAGCTGTTAGCATCGGAGGCGTCCCCTCTAGACACTGAGTGGGAGTGTTTTCACTTTGTCCTCTTTGCATTGGGGCAAAGGAGAAGTCTGCTCTTTTAGAGACAGGATGGTGAGGAAGGAGAACCTGGCATCCCAGACAGGTGATCTTAGGAAGCCTGCATCTGCAGTATAGTTGTGAGAATTTAATATTTACAACTCGAGAAAAAATGGTTCTCTAACGGGGTGTCCCACAGCGTGTGGCTTTACTAACGGGTTTCTTGTCATGAAGACATGGCTTCACCTCAGCTGAGGAAAAAGAGTCTGTCTGTTCTTCACTCTTTCTGTTAATGGAAAACTACTCTAGAATCAGTGTTTTTATTAACTGATACAGACTTAAATGTTTGGTCTGTTCTTAACTCATGTCATAATATGACAGTGATCCATGGTTATAGCTCGTAGAGACATTATTTTAAGGAATCACAAATGAGTGCATCAGGTTCTAAAATACAGACTTTGTGCATTACACCAGCTAACATGATCAGCACTGATTTCCAAGTCTAGTCAGTCCTCTGTACCTGTGGGCATGCAGTGTAACAGCTAACCTGCATTTGCATTGTATTGCTGAGTATATGTAATATGAGAATGGAAAATTGCAAAGTATACAAGAGAATGCATAGTTACATGAAAATACCATCTTATATAAAAGATTGGAGCATCCGCAGGTTTTGGTATCCATGGATATTTAAGAACTGGTGTGTACTTAGTGATACCATAATGGTTACATCTCTACTAACAGCAGTTATCAGCATAATTAGGCTGAAGTATCTTGATTTTTTTTAATTACTTTAATGTAGGAAAACTTTGCCTCTAAATTTTTTCACATTGTGTGTGTACGCGTGTGTGTGTGTGTGTGTGTGTGTGTGTGTGTGCGCGCGCGCGTGTGTGCGTGTGAGCATACGTGTGAAGATGAGAGAATGTCAGAGTCGGTTCTCTCCTTCAACTGAAGTCTTCGGGCTTGGCGGCAGGTACTTTCACTTGCTCGGCCATCCCACCAGCCCCCATTCTGTTATCTATGTTGGGAACTGGAGAATTTGTACCTATAAAATCAAATGAGCAAAAGCTGGTTCCAGCCTTTCCTCTGCTAATAGAACTCATTTGCTTAATTATAGAAATGTCATTTAAGCTAACTACTTTTACCAAACGCATTCCAACATCAACAGTTTTCAGTTAAGTTTCAGGCTTAGATTCTCTTTCCTGGATCTCAGACTAGACTGGCCTCAAACCCACAGAGATCCACCTGGCTCTGCCTCCCAAGTGCTGGGATTAAAAGTGTGTGCTACCACTGCCCAACTCTCTTTTCTTCTAAAATAAATTATAGTTATATCATTTCTCCCCTTTCTTCCTCCCAACTCCTCCCATGTTGCAACCCCCATTCACTCTGAAAGTATAGCCTGTGTCTCTGCTACTGTTTGTGAATTGTGTGTGTGTGTGTGTGTGTGTAAGCAGGTATGTACATACAACCTGCTCAGTCCATCCAGTCTTACTTGTTTGTGTAGATTTCAGGGCCAACCAGTTGGGAGCTCATCCTTGAATAAGAAGGCTATTTTCCCACTTTCCTCATTCCTAATAGCTTGTAACTTTTTCTAGGGGTGGGGTCCCGTGAAATTTCCCCCACCATGCTAGCATGTCCATTGGTCACTGTTCAAATCCTATTTAAGCAGCTGTGTTGTTGAGGTGTCATGGAGAAAGCTTCCCTGCCGTTTCGGGGAGACATGATCTCAGCAGATTCCAACGTTCTCTGCTCTCCGGATCTTCCTGCCCCTCTGCCACCCAGCCCTGTGTTCTCGTTGCACTGGTATTCTCAAATCACTATAAAATGTAGTACACTTAGATTGGTAAATTCTCGAAGAATGAAAACTACACTAAGTCCATCATACCTTGTCTTTTGCCAGTTTCTTTTAACTGGATGCATTTGAAGTACAATTCAGGCTATGCTTGTTGACAATTTTTTTTCTTTTAATCACCTGCCTCTCTCCCTCTCCCCTCTCTTTGTTCTTGAGACCATCTTTCTTTTTTGTTTATAACAAGAAACAGTTTGTGGTTGTGCTCTTTACACATAATCAGCTGAGGTCAGTATTCTTTATGTACGTAGAAACCATTTACTAAATAATATGAATCACTTTTTTACAGTGACTTATAAACTAAGTTTGGAGTAGGAAAAAGGTTAATGAATTGACTGCTAGACCCACTGTTCAGTGAATAATATCTACAAATAAATTACTAGCTCTTAAATAAACTCATAGTGAGACATTAACAGTCAGAGATTGAGTCGTGTCTTCAAATAATAGTAACAAGTATTGTCTGTGTGCTCCGAGTTATTTTTCATACTGTTTCATTTTCTTCACTTCCTCTCCATAGGAGTCAGTCGGTTAGGCCTAAGAATCTCTGTTTGACTACCAAAGAAATAGAGACAGGGAAGTTTACATGACTGAGATACATAAGTAAGTGAGTGAACTGCGTTGTTAGTCAGAATATTCTGAATAACCTGTCTGTTTGTTTGTTTTCAAAAGTGTGCTATAATCAGAAACTGGAGAAATGCCTAAGCAGTTAAGTGCACTTACTACTCCTTCAAAAGAGCTAGGTTTGGTCCCAGGACCCAAATGGAGACTCACAGTCG